AATAACAATAACAATAATAATAATAATAACAACAACAACAACAACAACAACAACAACAACAACAAATAATAATAATAACAATAATACAATAATATAATATAATATATATAATAATAATAATAAAATAATAAATAATAATAATAATAACAATAATACAATAATATAACAATATAATATTAATATAATAATAATAATAATAATATTGTACGTAGAAAGTACTGTTTTCCCCGTAATCGGGCTTTTTTGAGAGGAAAATTTTTGGGAGAAAGAATCCCTCACTTTCCTTCACTTTTATTCACTTTCCTTTTTATTTTTTGCAAACCAAACACATGATTGTGGGGGAAAACAGGGGATTTTCCCTGCGTCTGTTTTTTGATGGGCCACTTTCTGTCACTTTCTATAATTTTTTGACGAAACAAACAGGTCCTAAGAGGAAACAAGAGCCAACTTGTTTTTGTTAGGACTAGACATTTAGATGAATGAATAGAGTAATATGGTAAAGTAAGGTGCCATTTCACTGGGGGTTAGGGGAAAAAAGTTAAAGATGAATGACTAATTAGTTAACCCTTCACAAAAAGTTAAAAATAATTTAATTACATTTAGATTTGATAGTTGTTATGGTGTTTTAAATCGACAAAGTACTGTGTCCCCCTACATGCACCGCTCAAATCAAATTGACGTTCAGGACCACTAAGAATTCCGACTTAGTTAACTCGCCGAGTCGACATCTCCTTAATTAGGTTAACTCGAAGGGCGGTACTTGTCGATCCTCTTGTCAAAGACGACTTGCTACGAGCCTACTCGACTAGATATTTGACACCTTGTAGGGTCGACTCGAGAGACGTTATTTCTCGACACCCCTCGCTACAAGCCAGAGGACGATTTCAATCTCGAACCTCCCCACTGACAACGCATCGACGTCATATTAAATGCTTGGCAAGCGCCATCATTCCTCTAGCCCCAATAGTCTTGATGACACATCAGGCCACGTCGGCACCGTCATACCCCCAATCACTTTGTATTAAATACTGAGGTGACCTCTCCTCTACTTGTCGACCGACACTTCAGCAGATGCCCAACTCTGCGTCTCAAGCCTAAGACGTAGAGTTAGGGCCCAGAACGCTGACCTGGGCGTTTGACTCATTCAAACATGAGCTGAACGGTTTTAGAACTGTTTTTCTAACAATCTGAGGGAATCTCGCCCACTTAGGAGCAGATTAAGGGGTTAGTTACACCCCTTATCTTCCTATAAAAACCTCAACAACCTCAACTGAGGGGAGGTTCAGAGATTGGATTTTTGAATCATCTTAAAGGATCGGCACTTTAGCAGATTGGGTTCGGTTTTAAGGATCTGGAATCGGATTTTTCTTGAAGTTTGGTTTTCGGATCAAATCTCTAGGAGATCGGCTAGAGAGCTTCTTGGCAACAGAGAATTTTAACACTTGGCTATTAACTGAATTTTCAGTTCAAACAACTCTTTTCACAGAGTTCCAACTCATCCTGAATTCATAAACTCGTTAAGAGTTCTTTTTCAAACTTACTACGCAAGTTAATTATTCTAGTAAGGTGAGACGTTCAGATTGTCAACGGAGAAAAAACTCGACGCGAGCATTCGAGGGAGGTACTCCATCGCCACCGTAAAGAATCCAGAATTAAACAAAAGGGAATATCTCCGCCGATCTTCTTCTCTTTTGTAATCGAAAATTCGAATTGTAATCAGTTAGAGATTGAGAGAGTTGTAAACATTCTTTTTCTAAGCAGTTAGAAGGAATAAATCAAACTCAATTCTTTTATTTTCTCATTACAAATTTTCCACCAAACACGACCTTTGGGTTCTCAGCACCTTGACAAAAAGCGTGACATAAGCGCCGCAATCCCCAATGGATACGAGCGATCATAGAGGGCAAAAGAGCATATTGACGGCCGTGCGCCAAACAAACGACCAAGAATACCACCTCTCTCAGCAATGCATCGAAGCTACCAAATGGAACAATAATATGCTTGAGCCATAACATGATATATCCCACCAATAAGGCTTTGGAAGAAATCGGTTCCCCACATTGAAAAAAGTAACTATCAAATGTTGTGCTTGCCGGGTAACCATGTTCATCTGAAGATGTCACATAAGACATAGGTAGATGGTCGAGTATACATTGAGACAGTTTGCCTGCCTCACAAGGACCCAGTGGCACTATGAGATCCTTCTTGTGATTAAAGTTCTTAAAAATGTAACGCGCCCAGATATTATGGTTGAGGAGATTTTCACCTTTCTTATCAGCTCTTCTCTCCGTGTTCATACAAATGTGGTAGTGGCACATTACTTCCCAAAAGGTTTCAACCACTTGAGGGTAATCCTTCTCCAAATTGGTTAACTCCTCCAAATTGGTTAACTCCTTGTACCCCGGGACATATTCCTCATAAGGATACCTTCCGTATGACAATCCCGAGACTTCAACCATCTCATGAAGAGGAATTCCCAATTTATTGTTTGGAGTGAAGAAGGTACGGGTGTCAGGATTATATAACTCTAACATACTAAAGAATTGGTGAGAGTTATTCCTTAAACCAAGTTGTGTCGCCCTAATGGGCGCATAAAGCCCATATCTCTGCAGGTCTTCCTGATTCTCCTGTAAGATGTATTCGGTAACACGAGGCCACCACTAGGTAGGACTCCAACGAGACCAACCAGGAGTCCTAAAGTGCTTGGCCGGGAATTACCCCTTTAATTTAAAGAAAGTACGGCCAAAAGTGTTAGCCTCCTCTACTGTTTCACTGACAGGTAATTCTCTCTGAAATAATTCGGGGTGCAACCCGGTTATGTAGCGACTACTACTATCTATTTTGGTGCCGCTTCTAGAGAAATAACCACATGTCACCACATCTTGTGTTAGCGTTAAGTCCCAATCCATTTTCCTTGGAGCAGAAACAATCTTCAAGGCGGTAAGAGAACAGTCGTGTTCCATCTGGGGCAAGAACATACGCCGCCTGTTCACAGTCCTAAGTCATCGATAGGTTCCAAATTCTAATAACTCTGGATCCTCTAAAGAGTCTCTAACCAAGAAAACAGGCTTCACGATGTGATCACGATCGACTAATTCCAAGGGAGCGTCCGTGATCAAACGCCTAAAAATGGAAATCGAAGGCTCAGAAAGAAGTCGAAGTTCTTCTTTCCTCGATCCCCAAACATAGGGATATTTTCAAGGGAGGAATAATGTGAATCATATTCCGTTGTTTGACTACCATCTGATCCGAAAGCACCATGTTGAGGAATTGGAACAGAGGGATGCAAAATTGCACAAAGGACAAACAAAGTTAGTCCAGAGGATGAGTCACTACCCAATGATACGAAGGTCACTTCAACAACGAACTCGCTAATTAGACGAACCTTATCCAATAACTAACTTCGTTAGATAGACGAATCTCGTCCAACAACGAACTTCGAGTCTCGTTAGTTAAACTAACTTCGTCTATTGGACGAACCTTGTCAGTGAAGACAAATTTCATTGATTCAACGAACGTTGTCAGTGAAAACAAAGTTCGTCAGTCAAACGAAAGTTCATTTGACAGACCTTGAGGATGAACCTCGTCAGAATAGCCAACGCAGTTGTACATATAAAATTCAATCGGCATACGAGGTTCGTTAGGAAAAAGACAAAATATGTCAAGACAACGACCTTCATCAAATCAAAAGACGTCATCTTTCAGATGAATTTCGTCTTAGAAAGAGAGAAATTGTTCATCTCCCTCAAGAAACCCAAGTCTAAAATAGACGGGGTTTATTTGCGTTAAAACGTAGATCTTACGTTCCGATCTATTACCTGAGAAAGCAGGCAAAGCCGCAGGATCATCTAAAGGTCCAGCGACCTTCTTGCCCTTGCCTTTGCTTACAGCGATTTTAGGAGTCATTGGTCTCGGATTGGAAGCTCTCAAAGAAAAAAGTTTGAAATTTGGGAGGTGAAGGGTTTTGACAACTCAAGCGATCAGAATAAGAAAGGACTCTTCGTATGATGACGCCATATATATAGGCGGAAAAAAATCGAATCAAGGGCCGAGATCTTAGATTGAGATCGTTGGATGAGTCTCTTTCCCAAAGGGATCTGCGAGTGAGATCCATAGAGGAGGTCTCGAGGCACCAGCTGGCAGGCACCTATCGAGCCTAGAAAATGTGTGTAATAGTTACTACTGATAAGGCTGAAGGGTGTCATATAGGTGTGGGTCTGACAATATTCACATTGGAAGACGAGGGTCAACCAATTGTCAAACTTCGTGGAGAAGCTAATAGAAGCACTGAATTGCGAACAATGAAGCTAAGTTCATCCTAATAGGATTCAAAGTGTTTCAGACTCCATACAACCCAATTCAAGTCTGAAAACTTTGAAGGGGGTTTTGTAGGCATTAAAAAAATTCCAAATTTCAAGATATGATGAAGGTCATCATGGTGATGAACCTCGTCTTAATCAAAGATGAGACTCGCCACCTAGCGAGGATCCATATCAGAAACGAGGCTCACCACGCAGCTAGGCTCGGCGAAGCTTGTCATTGGAAACAAGGTTCGAAGCACATCATTGGAAATAAGATTTGACATCACAGACGAAGCTCGTCATTAGAAACGAGGTTCAAAGCTTGTCATTGGATACGAGGTTCGGAGTTCATCATCGAAGGTGAAGTTTATCAATAAAAACAAAGCTTGTCATCAGGTTTAAAGCTCGTCAGTGAAGATGAGACTCGTCAAAAAGAAATTCACAAGGTTTACTACGCAGTTGGACTCGGTTATCAAAGACGAAGCTCGTTAGTGAGGACGAAGCTCGTCAGACGAAGTCAGTGAAGACAGAGTTCGCTATACTACAAAGTTGGCCTTATAAGACGAACCTCGCTGCATATTGAGGCTCGTCCAATTAGATGAACCTCGCCATATAGCAAGGCCGTCGTCCGTAGAAAATCCAACTGTAACGGATTTGAAGACTTAGTTAGCCACGTGGGCTAAGCTTCAGGAGCACGTTTCGCCTCAGTAACCAATGTGGGTTGAATTCAAGGAGGTAGTTACGCCCTCTACCCACAATTTTAGTACATTAGTTACGTGCTACAAACTCTATAAATACCCATGAGAGGCTGATGCGGCATAAACATATACCAAAAAGTTACAAGTGCACAACTAATCAAGTTATAGTATAAAACGTTATCGATCCCATGAGGAAGGTGTTTTGTAGGAAAAAATTAAAGTTGGTTCTTATGTTGTGTGCATAACAATTAGGAGTGATGAGCGAATGTGATTATGGAGAGATAGAGAGAGTGAAAGTGATAGTGTGTAAATCGGCACAAAATGTAAGTGAGAGTGGATGTGACAAAGAATGAATGATTTACACAAGGAAAGATGAATAAAATCAAGAATAAAAAAGGAGAATTAAGAATAAAAAGAAAATTTAAGAAATTAAAGATGGAGAATTCAATTAAAGATATGTGTAATCTAGAATTGAATCCACTTCTTAGAAAATGGTGATTCCCTAGAGGGTTCTAGCCTAAAGGCGAATCAAAGAAAAAAAAAAAACTAAACCCGAGAGGGTTCTAGCCTCAAGATGAATAGTGCAAGAAAATAAAATCTAAACTACAAAATAAATTACAAAAACTAAGCTACAAAATAAATTACAAGAATTAAATGTGAGAAAATAAAGACATGAAATAAATCTAATTTATAAGTATGAAATAAATCTAAGACAAGAGGGTTCTAGCCTTTTGGCTATTTAAACAATAAAATCTAACTACAAGCATGGAAATAAATCTAAACTAATAAGCAATAAAAGAGAAAATAAGGAAAACAAACCTTCAAATTAATCTCCATCTTTATCTTCATCTTCATCATCCAACAAAGAGAAGAAAAGAAAAATTTAAAGTGGTGAAAAGATTCTTTTATTAATTGTAACAAAAAGTTACAAGTTTGGAAGGTCTTCTCAATTAAGAGTAACCCTCCTCTCCAAATGGAGATACAAAATTTTTTACCCCCTAACCCCTCACTCTCTACCCCTATTTATAGTAAACATCAGTGAATGAGAGCCTTTGGATTAAACTTGAGCCCTAAGAATGCAATTTCGGCCGTTGATGAATTCTGGACGACTTGGCATCGATACAGGCATCGATGCCCGCATCGATGCGCACATCAATGCTAGAAGCGATGCTTCAATAAAAGTTTTGACTTCACGATTGGCTTCGTCTCGTCGAGATAGGCAATTTTCATATATTATATATTAAATTCCATCTTCCGGATTGTGAGATATCGCCGTTTTTTTGCGGCCAACCATCTTGAATATAATTTCTCTTCATATTGGATTTTTTTTTAATTTTCTTCGGCTTCTACAGGCTATTCGGCTTGATTATGGGCTTCAATAAAAAGTTACAAAAATAAGGAAGTTGGATTCTTTTGGGTATTTATTTATTATTTCTTCATTAACCTATAATTAAAGATAAAAATAATTATCATTGGTATATTTTTTTCATTAAAAATAGATAATGAGGATATAAAATTATAATAAAATGTGATTATCAGAGGCTATGAAGAAGGGACTTTTAGACTTTTGGAAGATTTCTGGCTATCACGTGAAGAGAGATCAGTGTCTGCATTCTCGTAATCTAAGCCACAGTCAGAAGCTTTTGTGATCTTGTTCTGATCGTCAACGGGAAGCAATCGCGGCTTGAGCATCGAGAGAAGCATCCTTTCGCCACCAAGAACCCACTTTTAAACAAAAGAGAAGTCAAATTAATCTTCTCTTCCTCTGTAATCGAGAGAGAGTGTGAGTGATTGTAAGAGATTCGTACCAAGTGATCGAATCCATTTCTTAACACAAGAAATCAATCAAACTTCAATTTTTCGACCCTACACACTACACTTAAGAACTCACATAGTTCATCACTTTCTCACTCAAGTCCATCACTGACTTGATTATCGGAGGAACAACGAGCGAAATAGTCTCCGTCCTCTTACAAGTTGCTATTTGTGCAGGCATAAGCTACTCAACTCAAAATCAGATATTCGAAGAAGTTAGCGGCCCCTAATCAACCTCACCATCATTATATTATCTGTTTGATTATTAACATCAACAATAGTCATGATGAAGGGTTAAATTATTTGTGTTTGATAAATAAAGAAGGTTTAAGGAGTCTAGTTGGCATAAATATCCTAAAATATTTTTCTCCTAAAGTTTCATTTCCTATTTTGAGAGGGAGTAACTCTTAATCCTTCTCTTTAGTCGAATTTGTTAACCCGGGGGGTCAACTAACTCTAACCGTTGTAAATTGTTTGTTAACTCTTTAACCAAATTAATTTGTTTGAATAGTTTTAGAGGGGTTAACTAACACTAACTCTTGTAAAGGGTTTGATAACTCTTTGACCAAATTAATCTGTTTGGATGGTTAGGAAAAGGTTAAACCTTTTTTAACCGTTCTCTTAATCCCTACTCAAACGGTTAGGAGGGGTAATTGGTTGGGACAAATTGGGGCCAAGTGGAAAAATTATTCCAATGGAACAATTTTACCCCTTTGGGATATTTTGAGTGAGGTAAAGTGAGATAAGTTGGATAATGAGACAATTTGAGCATTTGATTTGACAATTCATATGGGATAATTGATGATGTGACACCTTATTAAAAATATAATTTTATCTATTAGTTACTTCTAAATAACTTATCCAATTGGTTTAGTATATTATTTAATATATTATTATAATATAAACATTATTTTACTTTAAATTAAAATATAATATGTTGTACTATAATTACTAATTAATATTATTAATTATTATATTACATTATACTATATTATATTAGCATGCTATACTATATAATAATTAATATTATATAAGATCAATATATTTAACATAATATTTTAATAATTTAATATTTAATATAATACATTATTTTATTTATACAAAAATATAATATGTTTTACTATAATTACTAATTAATATTATTAATTATTATATTATATTATATTAGCATGTTATACTATATAATAATTAATATAATATAAGATATATTACATGATAATTACAATATATATAATAAATTGCATCATGTTAAAAAAATATCTAAAATGTATTATATTATAGTACAATAATATATTTATTATATTAATTTAATATAATATAATATAATCACATAACATGATTTATATTATATTATATTTTATAATTAAATGTAATATACTAACATATTTATTAATTTTAATATGTTATATTATATTATACTATATTATTATATTAGTTTAATATAATACACTATAATATAATTGCTACAATAAAATATCAACTACAATTAATATAATATATTATATAATAATATATGTTATTAAATATTATATAATATTATAATAAATATGTTGTACTATTATATAATATAGTATGTGATATTGCATAATAATATATAATAAATATCATAAAATAAATTATACATATAAATTAAACTATAATTATATTTTATTTTAATATATGATAATATAATATAATATAATATATTGAATATATTATTACTTTATATTTTATATATCATGTCATATATATATATATAATATAATTAGCATGTATTAGTTAAGTAATACAGAAAGGTTTGAAAATTATCAATTTCCTTCAAATTGGAGCAAAATTATTCCAATATGGAGGATGGGGTAAATTTTTACTATTGGGATAATTTTTTTGTATATGAGTGGGGTAATTTTATCCCAAGTGGTGAAATTGTCTCACTAGTATTCCAAATAACCAATAACACAAAAAGATAATATCATTGTTTCATTGTCACAATGAATAACACTATGAAATAGAATCCCTAAAATTATCCTATTGCATCAATAAGTTTTCTTCATTAATAGAAGAGTAGTTGGACTAATTGAGCGATGGATGGTGACATTTCACTTGTCATTGTGGTTTTAGTCTGCGAAAATACTGTAGCTATTTGGTATCTTGTACATCCTAACCAATATGCACAAAACTAATATATGTGTATTCTATTTGGTACTGTGCTAAATATTAATTATGAACTTTTCCTAAATTTCAAGAAATCACTATGAGAAATTCTATAAAATTCACAAAACGACATTTTATTATGCTGTATTAATAAACATGTCTTTGCTTGGCATGGTAATTAATTTCCGAATGAAATTGTTCGTAGTAAGTAAATTTTCTGCATGTAGTTTCTTATATGAATATTTAAGGAGAATAATAACATCTGACATGAATTTTTTGAATGAATGAAGTAATTTATAATGCGTATGATATAAATCCATTTGCCGAATCAGGACATGCTGGAGGGTTCAATGGAAACATCGAGAACGATAGAGCTCATCCGGCACCCAAGAGTGCTGACCAAACTGCGCCAGGAGCTGTCAACTGTCGTCGGCCCGAACCGACAAGTCCAAGAATCCGACCTCCCAAACCTCCCGTACCTGGCAATGGTCCTCAAAGAAAGCCTAAGACTCCACCCCTTAATCGCCATCCTCTTCCATCATGGCAAAGAACAATGCGTCGTCAACGGGTTCAAAATCCCCAGAAACTCCAACCTCATTGTCAACTTATGGGCCATAAGTCGCGATCCCAGCGTTTGGCCACGACCCGAAGAGTTCATCCCTGAGAGATTCGCTGAGGAGAATATTGATGTGAGAGGACAGGATTATAGGTACTTGCCGTTTGGTTCGGGGAGAAGACTTTGTGTCGGGATACAGTTCGCGCTGGTATTTTCGCCACTGATAATAGCGCAGATTGTGCACTGTTTCGATTGGGAGTTGCCGGAGGGAGGGAAGGCGGAGGATTTGGATATGACGGAGAGGTACGGGCTTACTATGCCGCGAGCCGAGCATTTGTGGGCGATCCCGAGTAAGCGGCCGCCGTTGTGCGTCTAAGTAGGGTTTGAGTTATAAGTGATTATTTTGCGAGTAAGTTGTAATATGTTGGGGGCAATAAATCAACTTGTCGGGCTTGATTTAATAAAGAGGTTGCTTTGGTACTCCGAAAATAAGTATTTCTGTAAGTTTTAAATTGGCAGAGATTTAAAGCTGGCTGAGATATAGAGAGAGTGTGTTTGTCCGCCTTCTTAATTCCTCCCTATTATTTCTCCTTCCATAACTACTTCACCCGTTTAAAGTCTTCCCCGCCTCCCGCTTGAAAAGCAAAACTTATGGAAAAGTTATTTTAACAAGTTATTTTCATTATTATAAACTTATCTTAGCTTTTCCTAATTATCTGATGAGGGAATTAGATTGTTTGATTTTTTATTTTTTATATTTTGGAGACAAATTGAAGAATATTTGTTTAATTTATAAATGGGTTAATTGCGAGCAAATCCCCAGTAGTATCACCCAATTGCAAATAAACCACTTATGGTTCTATTTGTTGCGAATTAATTCACCCCATGAATGATTTTTTTTTACTCGTAAAATCACTAAAAGGTTTGAGGAGACAA